TCTCTCTCTCTCTCTCTCTCTCTCTCTCTCTCTGTCCGACGGCGAGTACTTACCGGTGACGGCGGGCAGGCTTTCGACCAAGTCCTAGACCAAGTCCGGAGGGACCTGCTGTCTTACGGGCTGACCGCGCCGGGGCTGGCGCCGGAGAGGCGCGCGCAATGCTGGAGCTGGTGGAGGATGGTGCAGCACTCGGTGATCGGGGCCGCCAGCCCATGCTTGGGGCAGTCTTGCGTGCCGTGGAACGTCCCAAAGGAGCGACGCCAGCGGTGGCAGCTGTAGTCTTGGCCATGTTATGTTCGTTTCGACAACAAGCTCGAGTGGGTACCAGGCGTATTGTGGTATTGCTATGCGCGCTATGAGCGACTGAGGACTGCTGTATAGCTCTACTCCGACTGTACTTTTAACCGCAAGCGTCTTGTTAGACCTCTAACAGCCAGAGGATATCCAAGTAATGCCGTGGACCTAGGGAAGAGAGAGCGTATGAGTCGAGGTGTGTTCAGTCCGGACTCAGAAGTGAAGAGAGAAAAGTAAAGAGGCGGACATCTCCTGTGTCCTTGGTGAAGAGAAGGAAGAGATCCGAAATAATACTTCTGTAAGAACAGCATGGTGCTATTATGTGCCGGCATAGATATGCGGTTGGCCATACAACTGCGCAGTTGCAGGCGGAAGTAACCGCAAAGTTCCGTGCTAGATGTCATTTCAGCTTCACTCAGCGCCGACAGCGGCAGTCCATAGAAGCAGATATCGGAGCTGTGTTGTAGCAACGATGAAGTGAACGTTTCTCTGTTGGAATCATAATAATGTCGGGGTTGCAGTCGTAGGGCTAGGAGTGCAGAGACGGTTGCTCGAGGTTGAGAGCTGAACTAGAGAGATCATGTCAGCTCTGTAGGATAACATGAGATGGGATAATATACCGGCATGCAGCCAGCAAATAGTGGTGGTCTTCGCGGGTAAGGCACGCACGTCGACCGCAGCCCTCTCAAGTGAAGCTACGTGCTGAGGTTGAGAGTGAGATGCGAGAGTCTACGAGAAAAAAACGTTCGTACGGCAAGTCAGATGAGCTGAAAGCGCATCAGATCTCTATCATGTCATTAAAGGTGCGTAGGTAGTGGTATCGTCAGGTGCAAGTGTGCGGGTCATGTCCATCAATGCTCTCCGGCACTGTCTTCGCCAACTCCAATCCCAATATGCCGAGGTTTGCCGATGTCGACCTCGAATTATTCCCAAACAAAGCAAGAGGTTTATGTGATGAAGGTCGCTTCCATGAACAGTTGTCCTTCGTCTTCTATGACCTCGTCACCAATCTTGAGCTGCAACTTCATCTTGGGGCAGTATTGGTAGATGTAAGGTTTCGTCCCGGCGGCTCCAGCAACAATCTGTTTCACGAATTTGGGGACTTCTCCCATAACATCGATTCGATCCGCTCGTACAATGTCGCCTTTGAGGTCTGCATGTACAGTCTTGCCGTCCTTTGTGGCGCCGTCCCACGAAGCGGCAACCGCGCTTGGTTCGGGCCAGTCGTTGTCCTTGTCACCCTTGATGGCCGTGTGCTGCACTTTCACTGCGGGATCACTGCCCGCAAAAATGAGCTCGCCGTCGATGGCAATACCACCTACATTGACAGAGGTGGGTCCATAAGAGGGCGGCGTCGTGAACTCCATCATAATAGCGGAGTATTTGGCTGACTGGTAATTGATGAAGTTCCATTTGGCGGCTAGCGTCATGTCAGTACCATTGAAGTGCACAAGCCTGGGTCTTCACTTACCGGCGAAATGCGGCTTCATACCCTGCAAAGCGTGGATGAAGATGCCCACACCCTTCATGTCGATAGGGCCGTCCTTGGTCATGATGCTGCCTTCAACACGACATCTGGGCCAGAAGGCGTGTCTCATGCTGCCCCATGGCTTCTTCTTGTCTGTGCCGAAGAGCGTCCGACCATCCTTGCCCACGACAAATCCCGGTGCTGCCTGTGTCCATTTCATGTCCACGATCGACTTCTTGTTCGTGTTCGACTTGACGTGGTAGGTCTTGCCGTCTTCACTGAGATCCATAGTGCAGCCGTCGGCCTTGAAGTTCTGCTTGTCCTTGGAGAAGGAGTAGTTGGAGAGGTTGTCCGACGCCCAGATGTGGTCCTTGCCGCCATTCTTTGCAAAAACCTTGCTACTGAACTGTGCTGTTGTCCGTACGCCCCTGGATCCGACATATCAGCGGATAACCTCTCACACCTCCGGAGTCTGCTCACAAGACGTCGCTGTAGATGACCTGAGCCATGGCGACATGGCCACTGTCGGTGACGACGTAGAACGTCTTGGTCTCAACATTGGTGCCGCTCATGACCTCCCATGCCAGATCGTTCTTCGTGAGTTCGGTGTAAGGCGTGTCCTTGGCCTGCTGGGCGACCGAGTGCACGCCCTCGGGGCCATAGTTGTGATCAGTAAGACCGACGCTATGCACACCATGTATATTAGTCGATGAAGTACTGCAATGCTTTGCGTTGGGGGGCACGCGGTCGAGTCGTACGTCTGCTTAATCCAGTTCATGGCGATGGTCGTAGGCGGTAAGTCAGATGGTGAGTGTGCAAGTGGCGGAGATGGAGGAGGAGGAGGAAGTGTTGGTGGTGGTGATGGTGGTGGTGGTGGTGGTGGTGGTGGTGGTGATGGCGGTGAATGTCTTCTCGTTGCTGTCTGTCACCGCGCATGCGTCTCGGGGCTGTCTTAAGTACCTGCCTTACGTCTGGGAGAGCAATTAGCAGTACCCGACGCGATCTTGGTTTCTGCTGAAACTGAAGCCTAAACTTCGTCGTGATGCATCACGCATGATGAACAACTGCTAATCTAGCTGCGCGCCCTCGCTAAGGTACGTCAACATCAGTTTCACCGATGCCCAGAAGTCGTGGTCGTGGGCATCTTCCATCGGAGCATGAGTGGAAGAGTCTGTCTTTCCAGTCTCATGTGCAGCAGCCCACGCCTGTTCAGCGACATGCTCCAACCAGCGAGGCCAGCGACTCGTGGAGCGTCTCGATGCCTCACGCATCGACCACCGCAAAGGGGACGGAGCAGCGATGATGTTGTTACTCCCGGGAGTGGCAGGCCGCACGGTCGAGAAGGAAAGTTCTGGTACCAAGGTTCTTCCTGTTTACCGTACCTGACTTGGTCGCCTTCGAGATTACATATCCAGCCACTCACTATCGTCGTGATGCATATAGAATTCGCAAAATACATCATGAGTAACTCGACGTCGAGAAAGCCACCATCCATCATGAACTCTTACTGTGGCGGCATCGCTCCATCGAGAGATGCCGCTCTATCACATGCATTCGACCGCCGGCGCGGCGGCATTCATTGTAAAGCATTGAACAGACATTGGGAAGCACGATGGCTTGTAGGCAGTCAGCTCGATAGTCCTAATAGCGGACCTGCTCTTCTCTCTTCAGAGTATAGTGAAATCAGTTATTCCACCTCTTCACAGTCAATCGCTTTGGACAAACAACATATAATCAGCGACAGGAATATCCCAATACTCCACTGACGCCAGCATGGACCGACTAGCCTTCACAGCCGGCCTCGAGATGCACTCAAGTGCAAGCATACAGACTCCATCAGCTGCTATAACGCAGTCCAGAGGGCCATCAGCCGAAGAGCGAGACTCCACAGAACTGGCAGACCATGGCCATTTCACACGACAGCAAGGCGGGGATATCACATCCCCAGCGGAACCACAGACGCCTAAGAGCATGAACAAAGGGTTCTTCAACGGAATACAAACACCAACAACACCAACCGAACTTGAAGCCAGCAGACCATCTACCGCGATACGAGGCACTGCTGTAAGTGCTCTACCATCGTTCTGGTATCCACGAATGAATAAGTGGAGAGTGTTATGTTCATGTCTCATATACATGGGAAACGGTATGAGCGACTCTGCGCCTGGAGCTCTGATCCCCTATATTGAGGACTACTACCACATTGGCTACGCGATCGTCTCGACGATCTGGATTGCAAATGCTGCTGGATTCATCTCATCTGCTTTCGTTACAGATTGGATTCTCTCGCATTTCGGTCGAGCAAGAACGTTGATGATTGCAGAAGCGTTCATGATTGGAGCCTATGTGGTGGTTGCTTGTGCTCCTCCCTTTCCTGTTGTTGCCGTGGCCTATCTCTTCATGGTAAGTAGGGCTTGACGACTATACTGCATTGCAATATTGACTGTAGTTCTTACAGGGCTTCGGCAATGCAATCAATCTCGCCCTGAACAATGTATTCTGCGCCAATCTTGCAGACTCGACAGTCATTCTTGGCTTTGCTCACGGCTCATATGGTGTGGGTGGTATCGTCGCACCGATCGCGGCAACAGCAATGGTCTCCAATGGCATCTTTTGGGCACGATTCTATCTCGTGACGATTGGTATCAGACTCCTCTGCTTTGCCTTTGCGGCCTGGTCGTTTTGGTCCTATGAGTACGAGACAACGTCGCACCTCACCTCCGACCTTCAGCATCTTGCCGGTAACAACGCAAACGCCGAGCATGTCGAGCTCAACAAGTCGAGCATGTTAATGACAGCTCTGAAGAATCGTACCACAGTCATTGGTGCTCTTTTCATCTTCGCTTATCAGGGCGCGGAAGTGTCTGAGTCAGGCTGGTTCATCTCCTATTTGATCTCTTATCGTCATGGCAATCCAGCAAAAGTCGGCTACGTGACAAGTGGTTTCTGGGCAGGCATCACAGTCGGGCGCTTCACCTTGACACACCTCGCGCATCGAGTCGGAGAAAGAAGTTTCGTGTTCGGCATGGGAGTGGGAGTAATTGTGTTTCAAATCTTATCTTGGTTGATCCCCAGCGTCATTGGGAACTCAGTATCGGTCGCTATTCTGGGGTTACTGCTTGGTCCAGTGTATCCTGCTGCAGCGACTGTCTTCACCAAGCTTCTACCACGAAGATTGCAAACTATCGCCATCGGCTTCATCTCTTCTGCTGGAAGTTCGGGGGGAGCAGTCGTGCCATTCTTGACTGGGTTGGCGGCGCAGAGTAGAGGCACTTGGGTTCTGCATCCCATATGCATTGGAGCTTATATCATGATGTTGGGCTGCTGGGCTATATTGCCAAAGGTGAAGAAGCCGACTTCTTGAGGGGAGATTGTCATCTTGTCGGTCAGTCTGCGGAAGAGTCCTCAGAGATACGGTAGTGGTGAAGGCGATATTCTACCTCTAGCATGAATGACCATCGATCTCCAGTGATCTCAAACACAATGATGTCGTTGGCGCGGAGACCATCCACCTGCTAGGCTCTAGAGCGGTGAGGTAGGCAACTGGTGATCGCGAAGAAATTTCACTTTTTCTTCACGCACTACTCTTCGCTAGCTCACTATCGACGTCTCGCCGGCCCATTGACGTACGCTTTCTCATCTCACTACTCCGGCCTCACATCGCGATCTTACAGCTCCTCCACGAAATCTTGGCATGCAGAATTGCTCATCCCTGTAGCTAGCACCATTTTACCACGCTAGGCAAAACTTAAAGCCAGACGAGGTCCGAGCTCTAGGTTTTTCTCAGACGTAGCACTCTTTTTTTCCTTTTCTTTCTCTCTCCCTCTCTCTCCTCCTCCTCCTCAACCACCCGAGAGGTCGCAGAAGGAGCACAATGGCTGAACAACTTGAGCGGTTTGAGGCGGGCGAGAGCACCGGAATGGCTCTCGAGGTCCAAGACGGCGACAAGACCGTTCGCTTCTGCGAAGGCCGGTCCTTCGGTGCCCACCGCAGTGTTGCGGGCGAACTGGTCTTCCAGACGGGCATGGTGGGCTATCCCGAGTCTATTACTGACCCTTCGTACCGTGGCCAGATTCTGGTCATCACCTTTCCACTTGTAGGCAACTACGGCGTGCCACCTCGCGACGCATTGGATCCCATCCTCGGCGACCTCCCCGCACACTTTGAAGCCTCAGAGATTCACGTCGCTGGTCTGGTCGTGGCCTCGTACTGCGGCGAAGACTACTCGCACCACTTGGCCAGCTCTTCCTTGGGCGCATGGTTGAAAGAGCAAAATGTGCCGGCCATTTGCGGCGTCGATACTCGCGCGCTCACGAAAAAGATCAGAGAGAAGGGTAGCATGCTCGGCCGGCTGCTCATGCAGACGGGTACTCGCAGAGAGCTCAATGGACATGCATCACCCACAACTGGCGCCATGACGCCAAGCGGCACAGCACCACCAACCCCAGCTGCAAATCTCCACGAGGTCAACTCCGCCCTGACGCCGAGGGGTGCCGATGGCCGCAATGGCACGAATGGCTACTTCAGTAAATCAAAAGAGGTGGCAGTGTATGAGGAGATTGAGTTTTACAATCCAAATTCCAGAAATCTGGTCGCAGACGGTAAGCTTGACTTGCCCATTCCCCTCGGTAGCTATAGTAAACAGAATCTGATAATTCTCAGTTTCAACCTCAAAACCAAAGATTTATTCCACACCTGCGTCCGTTACGTCGTTGCGTCACCCGTCTGGTCGTCCTGTGCGTGTTCTGTGCGTCGATGTTGGTCTCAAGTACAATCAGCTCCGCTGCTTAGTCAAGCGCGGTGTTGAAGTTGAGGTTGTGCCATGGGACTATGACTTCCCAGGGCTAGCAGGAAAGGAGTATGATGGTCTTTTCATCTCGAACGGTCCTGGTGACCCAGCGATGATGGCGGCTACTGTCAAGAACATCCAGCAGACAATGGAGGAGGCACGCGTACCGATCTTCGGTATCTGTCTGGGACATCAGCTTCTCGCTCGTGCAGCGGGTGCCAGCACTTTGAAGATGAAATTTGGAAACCGTGGACACAACATTCCTTGCACCAACCTGCTCTCAGGCAAATGCTACATCACATCACAGAACCACGGGTATGCTGTGGATGCCAACTCCCTGCCAAACGGCTGGAGCGAGCTTTTCGTCAATGCCAACGATGAGAGCAACGAGGGCATTCGACATGTCAGCCGACCATACTTCTCCGTCCAGTTCCACCCAGAAAGCACGCCTGGACCACGAGACACTGAGTTCTTGTTCGACGTCTTCATCAGCACCATTCAGAACGTCATCAAGGACAGCAGCTTCATGCAGCGACCTGTAGTATTCCCGGGCGGCGATATCGAGGAAAACCGGGCACTTCACCCACGACCAGATGTCAAGAAGGTCCTTGTCCTCGGGTCGGGTGGTCTCAGTATCGGACAAGCTGGAGAATTCGACTACTCTGGTAGTCAAGCTATCAAAGCTCTGAAGGAAGAGGGCATCTACACCATTCTTATCAATCCAAACATCGCCACAATCCAGACGTCAAAAGGTCTGGCAGACAAGGTGTACTTCCTCCCAGTCAACGCCGAGTTTGTGCGCAAGGTCATCAAGCACGAGCGTCCGGATGCCATATACTGCACGTTCGGTGGCCAGACTGCTCTTTCGGTGGGTATCCAGCTCAAAGACGAGTTTGAGTCGCTTGGTGTCAAGGTGCTTGGTACGCCGATCGACACTATCATCACTACTGAGGATCGTGAACTCTTTGCGCGGAGCATGGATTCCATTGGTGAGCCTTGCGCCAAGTCGAAGTCTGCCAACAACCTGCAAGAAGCCCTGGATGCCGTTGAAGAAATTGGCTATCCAGTCATCGTCCGTGCCGCCTATGCGTTAGGTGGTCTTGGGTCTGGTTTCGCCTCGAACAAAGAGGAGCTTGTAGATCTCTGCCACAAGGCCTTCGCTGCTAGTCCCCAGATTCTGGTTGAGCGCAGTATGAAGGGCTGGAAAGAGATCGAATACGAAGTCGTACGCGATTGCAATGACAACTGTATCACTGTCTGCAATATGGAGAACTTCGATCCACTCGGCATTCACACAGGTGATTCGATTGTGGTAGCACCATCTCAGACTTTGTCCGACGAGGACTACAACATGCTGCGAACCACAGCCGTTCGCGTTATTCGCCATCTTGGAGTCGTGGGTGAGTGCAACATCCAGTATGCACTGAACCCCGACAGCAGAGAATTCTGCATCATCGAAGTTAATGCTCGTCTTTCGCGATCTTCGGCACTCGCGTCTAAGGCTACTGGCTACCCGCTTGCGTTTGTGGCTGCTAAGCTTGGTCTGAACATCCCCCTCAACGAGATCAAGAACAGCGTCACCAAGAAGACAGTCGCATGCTTCGAGCCATCTCTCGATTACGTGGTCGTCAAGATCCCGCGCTGGGATCTGAAGAAGTTCACTCGTGTCTCCACTCTTCTTGGCTCTTCTATGAAGAGTGTTGGCGAAGTTATGGCTATTGGCCGCACATTTGAAGAAGCCGTTCAAAAAGCCATTCGATCGGTCGACCCAAGCAATCTGGGCTTCCACAATACACCTGCCCTGATGGACATCAACATAGACACCGAATTACAAACGCCCTCGGACCAGCGCATGTTTGCTCTGGCCAATGCTCTGCATTCTGGCTACACAGTCGACAAGATTTGGGAGCTTACCAAGATCGACAAGTGGTTCTTGCGGAAACTCAAGAGCCTCAATGACTTTGGCAAGTTGATGACTGGGTACGGTGTTGACAGCATTCCTGCTCCTCTGTTCCGCAAAGCCAAGGAAATGGGATTCTCTGACAAACAGCTGTCTCTCTTTTGGGACAGCAACGAGGGTAACGTGAGACGAGCGCGTCTAGCGAACAATTTGATGCCATTCGTGAAGCAGATCGACACTGTTGCTGCTGAGTTCCCAGCATACACGAATTACCTTTACACGACTTATCACGGAACGGAACACGACATCGAGTTTAAGGATAGAGGTATCATGGTCCTCGGATCTGGAGTGTACAGAATTGGGTCTTCCGTGGAGTTCGATTGGTGCTCTGTGAGGGCCATTCGCACTCTGAGAACTGCTGGATTCAAGACTGTTATGGTCAATGTAAGTTTCCCCTCTTCCTTTTCTACTCACCCCAAACGCTACCCCTTGCACAACACATATTTCATATATATACACTCAAACATATGCTAACAACCGCGAAGTTTAACCCGGAAACGGTCTCCACCGATTTCGACGAAGCCGATCGACTCTACTTTGAGAATATCACTCTGGAAACGATTCTCGATATTTACCAGCTCGAGTCCGCAAGTGGTGTCATACTCTCCATGGGCGGCCAGGCACCCAACAATATCGCTCTGCCTCTGTATCGCGCCAACGTGAAGGTCCTTGGGACCTCGCCGGAAATGATTGACACCGCCGAGAACCGATACAAATTTTCTCGTATGCTGGACAGGTTGGGTGTTGATCAGCCTGAGTGGAAAGAGCTTACAAGCATCGACGAAGCTCGCTCGTTCTGCAATCGGGTCACCTATCCTGTGCTCGTAAGACCCTCATACGTGCTCTCCGGAGCTGCTATGAATACAGTATACTCGGAGCACGACCTCAAAAACTACCTGGCACAGGCAGTTGAGGTGTCTAAGGAGCACCCAGTGGTGATCACGAAATACATCGAGAACGCCAAGGAGATCGAAATGGACGCTGTCGCGCACAATGGCACTATGATTGGCCACTTCGTGTCCGAGCACGTCGAGAATGCAGGTGTGCACTCCGGCGATGCCACCCTCATTCTTCCTCCACAAGATCTGGATCCGGAGACTGTGCGCAAGATTGAGGACGCGACACGCAAGATTGGTGACGCTTTGAACGTGACTGGGCCTTACAACATTCAATTCATCGCCAAGGACAACGAGATCAAGGTCATCGAATGCAACGTTCGGGCTTCCAGATCCTTCCCATTTGTGTCGAAGGTCACTGGGCTGGATATGATTGAGCTGGCAACCAAGGCAATGGCCGGTCTGCCTTTCCAAGCTTACCCGCCTGTTACTCTGCGACCTGATTACGTCGCGGTCAAAGTGCCGCAGTTCTCATTCTCGCGTCTCGCCGGAGCTGATCCAGTCATGGGTGTCGAGATGGCTTCTACCGGTGAGGTCGCTTGCTTCGGTCGGACGAAATACGAGGCCTACATGAAGGGCCTCATCTCCACTGGTTTCAAGCTGCCCAAGAAGAACGTGCTGCTTTCTATCGGTTCGTACAAGGACAAGGTTGAGATGCTGCCAAGCATCGAGAAGCTCTACAAGCTGGGCTTCAAGCTTTTTGCTACCGCTGGTACTGCCGACTACCTGGAGGAGCATGGCATCAGTGTACAATTCTTGGAGGCTCTTGGATCTGATGACCAACGCGAAGAATACTCACTGACGCATGCTCTCGCTAACAACCTGATTGACCTGTACATCAATCTCCCGTCCGCGAACAAGTACCGTCGACCAGCAAACTACATGTCCAAGGGCTACCGCACCCGGCGTATGGCAGTAGACTTTCAAACGCCACTGGTCACCAATGTCAAGATTGCCAAGATCCTTATTGAAGGTCTCTCTCGCAACTACGACTTCAACATCAGCAGCGTTGACTACCAGACTTTCGCCGAGCAAACGCTTGTGCCTTCCACCGTACAACAGCCTGCACCAACTGAGCCACTCTCTGAGCTGATCAAACGTTCTCCGTTCAAGGGCAAGGATATTATCTCGGTGAAGCAGCTCACAAAAGAGGAGTTGCACTTGCTCTTCACGGTCGCAGCTGAGATGCGTCTCGGTGTGGAGCGCGACGGATGTCTCGATATACTGAAGGGTCGTGTGTTGTGCACCATGTTCTTTGAGCCTTCCACCCGCACGTCGTGCTCCTTTGACGCAGCCATGAAGCGTCTTGGCGGCCAGACCATTGTCGTCAACGAAGCGCATTCTAGCACGAAGAAGGGAGAATCTCTGGCGGATACCATTCGCACACTCGACCAGTATGGCGATGCCATTGTGCTCCGCCACCCAGACAACGAGAGCGCTGAGATTGCCGCCAAATACTCGGATCGTCCCATCATCAATGCAGGCAACGGCTCACGCGAACACCCCACGCAAGCTTTGCTCGATCTCTTTACCATGCGTGAGGAACTTGGCACAGTTAACGGACTGACCATTACCTTCACTGGGGACTTGAAATATGGTCGAACGGTGCACTCACTTTGCGAAGTGCTCAAGCACTACAACGTCAAGATCCAGCTCGCCGCCCCTGCCGCGCTGGCTCTCCCATCCAAAGTCAGAGCCAACCTGGAAGCTCGCGGTCAACTCGGCATCGTCTCCGAGAAGCTGACCCCAGAGATCATTGCCGACACTGACGTCCTCTACTGCACTCGTGTCCAACACGAGCGCTTCGAGTCCGAAGCTGCGTACGAGGAAGCTCTGGAAGAGGGTGGCTTTACGGTGAACGCCAAGACACTTCGTGACGCGAAGAAGAACATGATTGTGATGCATCCTCTTCCTCGCAACGCCGAATTGGCGGTCGATGTGGATGATGACCCGAGAGCTGCATACTTCAGACAAATGAAGTATGGCATGTTCGTGCGCATGGCTCTGCTGGCCCTCGTGATGGCACCGTGAAATGGGATGTCTGTTTGCTGTTTCTGAATGTTTTAAGATCAAGGGAAATCGGGATGATACCAAATGAGTTACCAAAAGTTCGGGTGTGGTGTTTCAATCATGGGCCATAGCGGTGGCGTTCTTGGTACAAAGCGCACTCATTTTCTTCTGTGAGAGAGATGCGTGGTCATCTGGCGTCGGGAAGTGTGCGCGCCGGGGGGGTAATAGAGAGAGATTCAACTCGGAAATCAAGAGATGAACATATAAATATATATATATCCCTTTTGCTTGTGAACCGATGCGATCGATTGCAACATGATATTTTCCAGCGAGTGTGCTCTAATTCTATTGTTCTCCCTCGAAATATGTTCTTCCATCGAATTTGATCTTTTTTTTCTAAAAAAAAAGAAAGAAATAATCTAACCTCCAGTGGCGTACACGCAGTAGACAGTGCCCTTGTCCGCATCAATTCCGCCATTCACATAACGAGCTCCTTTGAACTCCTCGCGAGCATTCTCAATCTATATACATATTACATCACGTCAGCGAATGCCACTTCTTCATAATAATAAACAATAAACAATAAAAAAGAATTTCAAAAAAAAAAAGAAAAAAAAGAACTTACCCAAAATTTGCAGAAATCTTGTGCTTGATCATCACTCGTGAGCTGTAGCGAAAACAGTCAGTCACACATTCATCATATCTCCCCTTCTCCTTCTTCTCCTCCTTCTTTTCAACTTCCACTTACAGCACAAGCACATCGCTTATTCTCACAATGCGCATCTCCGAATCGTCTACGGGCTTCTTCTTGAATTTTCTCGCTGGGAGTGACATTTACGCCTTGCGCCTGGATGTTGGGGGTTCTGCAGGGAGTTTTGCACGCGTCGTCTGAGTCGCACTGTTGTTTTGTGGGAGAAAAAAAAAGAAGAGAAAGATGTTAGTTGGGGTGTTTTTTTCTTTTGTTGAGGTTTTGGGGGTATGGATGTATGTTGGTATTCTTTTTTCTTTTTCTTCTTCTGCTTACCTTGGTTCCTGCTTGACGGAGGTCGAGGCTGCCTGCTAAGGCTACGCTGGAGAAGAGGAGTTGAGCAAAGATTTTGGAGGAAACCATGATGACGGATTGATTGACTGGTTAATTGGTTGTTTTGTTGATTGAGTGATTGATTGAATGATTGATCGATCGACTGGTCAACGCTATCGAACACTGCTGATGGTATTGGATGTGAAAGAATCATCTATCCAGCCATAGTCACATATATATATGTATAAGGCGGCTTCAACCCTCCAAACCCCAGGAGTCCCCCCAAACCCTGAACAGCCAACCGCCTCACCACTCGAGCGATCCGAGCGAAGCCAGCAGCAGCTATTTTCGCACATCCTCGCAAACAAACCTATCGTTGCAGCAGCAGCCACCAACCGAAATTTGGCAAAGGGCCCTCAGGGAGGTAGGGACTTTCACACCAAGATCGCAAATACGCAAACCCATACCCATCCCATCCCGCCCCACTCCATATCCCTCAAAACCCGGTTTTTCGTTAGTAGAGAACGATGGTACAAAACACCCAAGACTTTCCAAGACCTGCAAAGACCCGTTTCCGCGAACTTCCTGCCACGCGACACGACGAGGAAGTTCGATGATGATGATGATGATGATGATGAGATCCTAGCTACCTACCTAGTCACGACGGATGAAGCTCGGGTACTCAGGTAGAGATGTAAGCGCCATGGACGGAGAGGGAATAGCAGAGAGTGGGAGAGAGTGAGAGTGAGAGGGGGCGGTGTTTCGTACTGAGAGGCTTGGAGGGGGGAACGATGTCAGCATATGGCGTAACGAGAAGACCAGGTATATGCTGTTGCTTAGTTGCGTTTCTGTTCTGTTTGGTGTTTCTTTCACTAGTGTGGAGAGAGGAGGGAAGGGGGCCCTGGTGAAAAGAGTACGCAATGGTAAGGCTTGGCTGTTTGTTTGGAAGATGATGTATTCCGCGCGTATTTCTCAAATTTCTTTCTCGTATGTTTTGTCGGCGCGCGATCGCCGGGTAGGCCCTTGGAGGATCAGAAAGGTAATAAGCGAAAACCTACCTTACCTGACTTTACTACTTCACAGTCTTCACTGCTCTCTAGAATGATCTCGTGTTCTATGATCGTGGTTGGTGATGGCAAGAATTGCGAGACGATGCGAGTTTGAAGTGAGCAACTGAATGTATACCTACCAGGTAAGGTATGGTGGGTAGTCTAGAAGAAGAGAGAAAGAAAGCACCTAGGAGGTCAGGTAGGTATGTACAAAGGAACATGACTAAGCATTGATTGCCTCAAGCATCCCACAAACACCAACTGAGCAGAATGGCAGGCTAGGACATCGAAATACCGCCTGCCTACCTGCTCGCACAAAGACATTTCTCGTCGTCGTCGTTCGAAGTAGCGATCCTCATGATTTTCATATACCTACAGATATATAACACTGATAAACAGCACCCTCGCGCATCACACATCTTGGATTCCACTAGTTTGAGAAAAAAATACGGGCTCCTAGGGCTATCCCCCCTTGCTCCAATAGAACTTACTGTAGTGGTGTTTCCCCTTATGAACAGGCAAACGTATAATGATGGATCTTTTTAGTGTCTGCTAATTTTTTCAGACTAGTAGTCTAGTTGCATACTCTGCAGACGAGGGAGAGGGGAAGAGACACGCACGTTTCGTATGAGTAAATGAATGTATGAATGAACGAGCCGGTTATTTATATCATTTTCGGCCTAGCTAGGTACCTTAGGTGGGTGGGTACCGCTGGGTATACTACTATACGTACCTAGGTGACCTCGTAGTCGAGAAGAAAAGGAAACATCGGTGCTAGAGCCATTTCTCGAGCTATCGTTGTTGTGGTGATATTCTGGAATTACAGGGCATCTTTTCTGAAGTTTCTTCTTTTTGAGGCATCTTTGCGGAGACATGCTTTCATGTCCTATACGTCCCCTCATGTGTATGATGTGGCCACCTGGCTCCAACTCTCTGTAGATCAACGACTCGTGTATACTCTTGGGATGGGTATCAATGTAGTCAATGAACGAGATTCGCATTCTCAATGTCGACCAAAGTCGTGTGTCGCTGCGGTCTTGATGGGCTTCTGCTCCGCCTGGCAGATCGTGGAGTCCCTCGGTCGAAGGGTGGTGGGTACTGGTTGATGTAATCGGTAATAGACAGGGCAATACAGCTGAAGCCTTTGATATCCAAGAAGCCCGTTGCACCCAGCACAACGAACGCAAAAAAACACTGTTCTCGCGAGATCATTGAGGAAGCAGAGTCTGTTCCGTCTGCTATCTCTCTAATGTGGTATCTGGGGGCCCGCAGATGATGCGGCAAGGCCCGTCATCTAGCTCACTTACGCAAGTTCGCATTCAAGTTTGTCTGAACTTGCATTACGTCTTCTTGCACGACACTTGCTCGTCGATCGGAGGCCTTGTCTCTCTTCCTATTGATCCCAACCAGGTGACCCATCTCAGTCCAGAATCCGACAGGTGGATGAAGGAACGTCTCCTCGTATGCATCGATGATGGGACGATCCCAGACCAAGTCTGCTTCCGCTGACTTGATCCATTTGGTCTTGTGAATCAGTTTCCAGATCAGGAACAACGGAGGAATGAATAGCTGCATCGTGTAGTTGGAGAAGAAGTTGGACACATTCCAGGGCAAGTAGGAAGTGTATCCATAGATGCAAGTGACGATGAACATCCAGACGAGTCCAAAGTAAGCACAGTAAGGCTGCAAGTATCCGGTATACGGCAGCGTGTTGCGGTCGAGTCCCTGCACTTTGCAAGCTTGATGGAATCGAATGTAAGTGATGCACATCGTAATGTAGTTGATCAGACCTGGAAAGCCACTGATTAGCGCCGAGTCAGTTTAAGCAAGAGCCGCGATATACATACCTCCTCCAGTCACTAAGCTAGCAAACCAGGTGATAGCTACGCGAGAACCACTTGACACAGATGTGAATGAGAGCAAAGGAAAGACCATCACTACGGCGAAGCAGTAAATGGGCACACCCTTCTTTGTGCAGTGTCGGAGGAACTTTGGTGCTCTCCCTTCCAGAGACAGGGAGTACAGGTTTCGGACCGCACAATATGTATAAGTATTGCCAGCGGAGAAGATTGAAGTGAGAATCAGCCTGAGATTGTCAGTTTGAGCCGAGATATAGTAGTGAGGGATCAGCGTACGCGTTCACAATGTCTGGAAGAACAGTGATTCCAAGATTGTTCATGGCGATCACATATGGCGATGCTTCCGCAGAGCCGCTGCTTCCATTGAGGACTACGTCCGCCAGCTTTGGGTCGCGAGAGGGGCAGACAATGCCTACGGCAAGAGCTCCTCCAATGACTAGAGCATCTCGGTCAGCTGTATCTCTGCCAAGGTCGCGACATGTCGGATACATACAAAAGATTCCAAATCGAGCGTACACCATCTTGAAAGCGGCCTTGATGTATGTGCGAGGTCTCATAGCTTCAGCAGCCACAATCGAGATGTACTCTGGGCCGACGACGGTGAAAACAGCCTAGCAGTCTGATAAGTCTTGGACTCTCGCGCCAGTATCCAACGTCTCCGTGTGTCACGACAGAACTGCTTACCGAAATGAGTCCACCTAAGAAACCTTCAAAGCGGCCCAGGTCTCCGTCCGCGATGTATTCACGAAAGGCGCCTCCCATTGTCCAGTTTCGAAAGCCATAAACATCGCCTTGCGGATTTCCTCCGACCATCGTAATGAAGGTGAAGAAGAACAGCATAAAGATCAGGACGACCTTGCCTCCCGAGAGCCAGAATTCCGCTTCACCGAAAGCGCCGACAGCCAGGATATTAATGAAGCTATGCAGTGTGAGTAGTGGTCTGAGAACAAAATTATTTGCGACCGCATGTGGTAGAGACGTACGCATATATGCAGATGACACCAATAATGATACCGGCAGTCGGTCCCGCCTCGGTCACGGTAGGACTCCAGTAGGAAAGCACCAGAGTAAATGCAGATATTTCAAAGGGAATCAGTAGTGCCTCGTAGAAGAAGCTGTCAATCACGAATGTCAGCGAAGTTTCCTTCCCCCGGGCTTCTGAATTTTGCGCTCACAAGTTCCATCCAACCATGAAGCCCAGCGCATCGTCGACCCAATGACCAGCATGTCGGATGAAGCCTCCACTGACGGGAAAAGCAGTCGTCATTTCTGCAACGCAGTTGTTGACCATGGCCAGGACAATGCTCTGCGCCAAGAAGGCGAGGAGCAGATTCGCCGCACCTCCATGATACAGGCCATTGCCAATGCTCACGAACAGTGCAGTACCAATGGAGCCTCCGATGGCAATCAGCTGGATCTGACGGTTTCCCAGATGTCGTTGCAGCTGGTCGCTGTTATCGGCGGAAAAGCCTTCTCCCAAGTCTTGGCCGGGGTCCGACGACGAGTCGCGACCTTTTTCTTTGTCGCTGCTGAAAATGCCCATGATGTCGAATACAGTTCTATACCACTGCTGTCCTCAGATTGCCTGAGCGGACGTCACGAAGAGGAAGCAAAAATAATGGAGTGCGCAGGCAAAGTATGATTTACACGATCCAGCTGGATGCTGAGGCGCAGGCGATCACAAGGAGCGTTAGATTCAAAGTGTGGCGTGCCGCTGGCCGATGCAATTGGCGGCTGCGGTGGAAAATGCTCCTTCGTGCTGCACCTCAGCCAGTGCGTATCTCGTGTGCGTAAGGAAGGCTGCGTTGGGACTTCGCCCGCCGGTCGACAGCCAAGACATCCATGCACACCCGCCGATCATTGCGCTCTTTGCAGCCATTGCGCGCTGTGTGAGTGGCTGTAGGCTCCGGCGGAAGTGGGAACAGGAATCAGGATCCATTGAGGAAGGATAGGCCAATACGGTATAGACGAGATAATGAGGTGGGATCGCTGAATTCTGCCGCTACCCCGCTTTGGTGGGTGGGATATCCATCTCATGCCAAGCCATTCAGTATGCGATTACCATGTTTCGCCGATCGACCTTCTTCTTCTCTGCGGCTGGTGGACAGGACTATCGCCCTCCTCAAGAAGCGCCTCAGGTGAGCGTGGCGATTGCCGTGACCACGGGAGTGCTGTGGTCACGGAGAAGAGCCTGCTCCGGCGTCGTTCGTGCTCGGTGCCCGTCCCAGCATCGTCTTCCTCCTCGGAAGACTGATAAATGCTATTCAAGTAGCGTCGGTGCTCTGAGAGTGAGCGGGCTGGAGGAGCTGGACTGTCTGAGTCTGATTCCACGCGAGAATTCCGCCTCGAGGCATGAGGAGTGACCGACGTGCTTTCAGTTGCGGTCGTTACGCCTGGCGTATACAGGCCAAAAGGCATGAAGTTCAAAGGCTCAGCACGACTGCTCGTGGAGAGTTCCTCTTCTGTTACCGCCGAATCACTGCTGCTTGTTGGGCTTATCACGCGGCTGTCATTCCCCATCCAGCTTTCGAAAGGGAATCGAGGGTTGATGGATTTCAGGGGGGAAGGGGGCCACCACGATGAGCTTTTCAGAGAAGAAATTCTTGGGCGTGTATCTTTGGGACTCACTTGGTCCAGGATATTTGGACTGTATGGCTCTTGTACAGCACCTGGACTGATCGGTTCTTTGACACTTTCGGAATTGTGACTCAAGATGTCAGTCCGCAGACCAACGCGGCGTACAAATGCGAGAGGTGCTGGACGCATGCCGAACTCTAGCGACTCCTGCGTGCTAGAGCGCTGAGAACCAGACTGGCTACTTTGTTGTGTCGAGGTGTCGGTGGAGCTGGTGTCTGATCTGCTATCGAAGCTCTCAGGTGTAGTCGGCCTGCCACTAGGGAATGCAAACAGCCACCTCTCCAGTAGACCCTTCGCATGAGAACGCGCGCCCTCGCCTGGGTCTTGAGCTGCTCTGGCATCGATGCTCTTATCGCTGTCATTATTGTCACTATGACTTTCTCGCGAAAGTGTACCACCTGCCGCAATCCACACTAACCAGTGCTTTGCGAGAACTTCCTCGTCAACACTCGATTGACACTCACGCCCAATGGATACTGCAAGCTTGAATTGTTTCCGCGCTCGTGCGCTAGTTTTCTTGAAAGCATCCCTCGAGTACACAATATCTGTCAAGCCATTGTAGAAATGGCATCTTGCCAATGTTCCGGCCTGGACCAGGCTCTCATGTTGCTTCGCGAGCTTGAGTGCCGAAACCGCTGCCTGCCTAATAATCTGGGCATCCATTTTGGTGGGCCTGGGACTGATCTTGTGATACTTCAGCGCCGTCAAGCACGGCGTAAGCTTGACCTTGATCCTGACCTCGACTGCGAGCGCCTGAAGCAAAGGATCTCGTATGTGCTCTGCGTCTAGAGATGATGACTGTTCAGATGAGACCGTGCTAAACCTGGCGCTATGCGTTCCCTCAGAAGAAGAACCTTGATACGTGCCACTCGTAGGGGACCAGGCAACACCAGATTCGAATGCACTCGAGGTATTGCGTACAGAACTCTCGCTTGGAGATTCTAGAATTTGGCTACCGTCATCTGTTAACGGACTCGTGGGCTGCGAGTCGTCCTTGCCTCTCGGAGCGACTAAAGCATGCGCGGACGAAGTACTTGATGCTGAGGTGAAGCTAGAGACACTTCCATCTCGGTCTCCATCGTCCTCGCTCCCGTCATCTGATCCTGATCCCGATGGTGGAGGCCCACGATGAGAGCGTGATGCATCACTGTCCTCTTCCTCTGAGCTCGAGCTCAAGACATACTTCTTCTTACGTCTCGCCCTGCGGCGGACAGCTGGCGTAGGCTCCGACATTACTGTACATTAGAAATGAGGTTTACCCAGACGTGCCCTTTCCCCAGGAATACGTAATGACAAGCTTACAGTACCTTTTCTTCCTGCTTTGTTTGACTACTTGCCGGATTGGGCCATGTGGTCGAGCACAAAGGCTTCACGACCTTGCACTCTTCGGGTCAAGAACATAAGTGTCTTCATCATGCTTAGACAAAGAACACGATCTGTATCGTGTCTTAACATATCGCCTAGCTTATGCTGCTCTGCTTGTATATGCCTTGTGGAATCTTGAGATTGGGACTTAAAGGTATCTCTGAAGACAAAAACATCTCAGTAAAGGTATCTTGAAGTCTCGAACAAGCAGCCAGCCGAGATCTCGATCTCACACGCCTCACACCACCAGAGATATCACATCACAATCAACCATCAGCAGTAGCCTATGTTAGTTCTAGCTCAAGGTGAAGTCAAGCAACAGCCCACAGACCAGCCAGCTTCCCAAGTCCGTCCCAGCCACACAACATGATGCGGGCCGGCACTTCTGTTCCCTGTGCAATGTGTGCATAATACCTAATGTATGTACCTTTTTACCCCCCAGACCACAGAATGAACTAACACCACGTGCATCTTGCCATCGGCCCATCGCCAGGTCTAGACCTCGATCCAGCCAGAGCCAACCCAGTAGAAACCATTCGGCAGATGTTGTTGCTGCAAACTCCCCAGATCGTGAGATGGGGGAAAAAGGCATCCTGAGGTACCTAGGTAGCACGAAGATGTCCCACTCCCACCACCATGGATGCTATCAGGTAGGTATCTATCTCACATCAGCCAGCACCTAGAGGGACATGTATCTTACGATCACTTGATCATCTATCCGATGACGAAGAATCGCTGCTTCTGCAACAATAGCTCACAATACGAAAAAAGGTATATTTATTCTAGAAGCAGAGAAAAAGCCTTCGTGGCTGAGAAAATAGAGAAGAAAGTGTAAAGGTACCGTAGTGCACAACTTTGAATATATTTATTTCCCTCGTGGCGTTGTGCATGCATTAACCAGGATCAGCGGAATACTGTATACATGCCTGACCTTTCACATTAAGGTATCCTCTAGCACGATGGAAGTAGAAGTACATACACCTGTAGGCTGTATACAGCCAGCACACGACCGACTGAACTGGAGGCATGTAAAAAGATGCGTTAATGCAGGGCTGAAGAAATGCAAACACCGTCACACACACCTCTCATCCATCCATCTTCCCTCCCTCCCTCCCTCAATTATACCAAAAACTAAACTACATTAGGTACTATCCATGACCTTCATCCATCCCGCCCGTCGTTCCCTCTACCTAGCAACCTGCCAGCCGCAGTATGTGAGATAAGACTCATCATCAAGCTACCTACTGTACCTACCTACCTGAGGTACCTATACATATGCATGTTTGTAGGTATGCATACATGACAGCTGCAGCATCCTTCCCGAGTATGTATGTACCATGTCAGCCGTATGTAGCGCTTACCTTATGTACTTTACCTATTATTACAAAGCGACGACGTAATACATGTACAGGGCCTGTATCTATCTGAGGATGCAGGTGGTCAGGTACCTGTAGTCGTCATTGTCATCATATTCATGATTCATCATCATCGTCCATCATCATCATCATCCGAATAGTATAGTAATAGTAGGTAATAGTTAGTATCCAGTGACAAAGAAAAGAAAAGAAAAGAAAAGAAAAGAAAAGAAAAGACGGACGGGCACCGAAACTCAGAGCAACAGAAAAAAGTCAAAAAAAAAACAAGTCAACGTTGCCTGCTCGCAGCTGCAACATGTGGCAAAAAGACCACCTCTTGTACTTGAATACTTCGATAGTTCTTCGGATATTCCACGAGGCGAAGCCCGAGTTTCGAGAGAAAACCCAGACTCAGAGCTGAGAGAGAGAGAGAGCAAGGGAAGGGGGGGGATCCGGTCATCGGGTCACGGGGCAAAGATAGTACCTTATAGGGACCAACAAAGAACACAACAGAACAGAGAACAACAGGCTTGTCAGCCAGGGACCCAGCCCACCCAGCAGCTCTGGAAAAAGGTATGCGGGTGTCCTCAGCCATACGTGGGTGGGAAGGTTCAGCATACAGTTCTTCCTTTTTTTTTTTTTTTTT